TTTGAGGTCAGGACTTTTTTGTCATCAACAAGGCGAAACAAGGGCGCGTCTACGGTATAAGTACTTGCAGTCTCGAAATTTCCATCCGTGAGTGGGGGTTGAGATACGATCTCGTACATCTGTGCACATTACATTTTTTGCTATGATACATGCAGGAATCTGTTGTATCATAGCAAGACTTTGAAACTAGAAAATCATTAATGCATCCCTATTGCCTAGCAACTGGGCTTATAGGAGGTATCCAGATATCTATAGCTAGATACGGGTAGCATGCCGGGGTAGGCGCCGGGCCGACGGGCGCGGTACTCTGTGCACGAGGGGGTGTATGCGAGGGTGAGGGGTGTGTGCAATCGTCGCGCTAGTCGTATTTCGTCCGGAGTGTTTATTCCGCGTCTGCGGATCAATACCGGTGGCGCAGTGGCGGTAGCTAGGCGGCGGCGCGGGCCTTTACCTTGCTGGGTTGCTTGAGTCTGTGAGATGCTGTCAAACCGATAGGACGCCGATTCGATGTTGCGATTCGCGTGAGGGCTGCTCCTTCAGCCATTTTTGAGTTTTCCACATTGCGCTAGTGCGCTTGTAGGCCTCTTTATAAGGTGCGTCGTACTAAATGATGACTCATATCCCGATGTGTGATTTGCTAAGGCGAAAGTGACGCCTAAACGATTAGTCTTTCTGAAGTATAATACCAGTGTCTAGTCAATCTCCAAGTTAGTGCAGTTAGTTCATACTTGAACTATCTATTGCAGGGGCATCAGTGAAATAGTCCTCACCCATCAACCACGATGTCGGCTGACAAAGAGGAACTGGTGCAACGCGCCAAGTTGGCGGAGCAGGCTGAGCGATATGACGACATGGCGGCCGCGATGAAGGAAGTCACGGAAACCGGCGTCGAACTCAGCAACGAAGAAAGGAACCTGCTTTCCGTTGCATACAAAAATGTGGTGGGCGCCAGACGATCGTCATGGCGTGTTATCTCCTCCATTGAACAGAAAACCGAAGGCTCGGAAAGAAAACAACAGATGGCAAAAGAATATAGGGTAAAAGTAGAAAAGGAGCTCAGAGAAATCTGCTACGATGTCTTGGTAAGATATTACTTTATAATTTTATTGACAAGTATTATTATATGTAAGATAAGTTCAATTTATTAAGCATTTATTATGACATTATGTAATAAATTTACTACGTTAAACCCCTCCTACAGGTGGATATTACTATTTTTTTCCGTCTTAAGTAGTATTACTGTCGGTTGTCGTCTTCCTACGCGTATGACGTCATTGCATTTGCTCGTCGCCAATTCGACGGGTGATGCAAACGACCAGTTATCATGGTCATTTCCCTTGCGGGTAACGAGTTTGCTAATGATGATAGGCGTTTTGTCGTATATCAACCATGTGAGAGCGTACAGGGGCGCGGTGCGGCTTTTCCACGGGGGGAGGAGGGGTGACGTACTGCGCCGCGTTGCTGCGCGCGCTGCTATCCCGATTTCGTTCATTGCCCTATCTCTTCCCATTAGTTTCGCAATATCGAATTGTTTTCATGTAATACAGTACTCTCACATCTGAAACGAATTTGAGAATATGGATAAACATTAGTTACTTAAAGTCGATTTCAAGTTCTAACCGACGATTTATGTAGCTACACATATTGTAGCATTTTTTATATGTGTAATTCGATATAAAAGAAATACCATCTTAGATGTAAATGCCTTCAATACCTGATCAAGTGGGAGTAAGTTTTGTTGTATTATAAACTTTTGTTTCAGGGTTTACTTGACAAGCACCTAATTCCTAAAGCTAGTAATCCAGAAAGTAAAGTATTTTACCTAAAAATGAAGGGAGATTACTACAGGTACCTTGCAGAAGTGGCCACAGGAGAAACCAGAAATTGTAAGTGTGAAGTGATTTTGTCATAATATTTATAGATGTGATTAAATACAAATTTGCTTTTTGTAATTCTTAACTGTAAAATCTGTCAAATAAGTTGCTAACTACATTTTACCTTCCAGCTGTTGTAGAGGACTCACAGAAAGCGTACCAGGACGCTTTCGAGATCAGCAAGGCGAAAATGCAGCCCACACATCCAATCAGGCTGGGCCTGGCGTTAAATTTCTCCGTCTTCTATTATGAGATATTAAATTCACCAGATAAGGCGTGTCAGCTCGCCAAACAGGTCATTATTTAGTGTCAGTTTTACATGGGCTGTGTGCTGGCTGGCACGAGGAGGCGGGCTCGCGAACCGCAGCGCGACAATACAGGCTCGGTATTAACGTGCTCGCTTGTCCCCAGCCGTCGTGGAGGACTCGCAGAAGGCCTACCAGGAAGCGTTCGACATTGCAAAAGCCAAAATGCAACCAACCCATCCCATCAGACTTGGTCTCGCGCTCAACTTTTCAGTCTTTTATTACGAGATTATCAACTCCCCTGCGCGAGCGTGCCACTTAGCCAAACAGGTTTTTCAATTTACCAATGGCCTGCCGTGTGACAACATTGATCCCTTAACTTCTTTCATACTAACTAATCTGAAGAATCATTTATGCATGAAGTGAAATAAAAAAAAAAACGAATTAAGTGTGATTTCACTAATTATGTAGCATGGCCTTATAAAAATATTAACCTTTTAATACTCGATCCAGCCAGTACCAGAATGTGTTACTATTTAACTCACAATGTGTAACTATGACTATTACGAACTCATTGTGGGTTTTAATGATTTTGTTGAATGTTGTCTATTGTAGAATAGAACAGTAGAGTTAATGATCGATGGATGGTTACAGGCATTCGACGATGCCATCGCCGAATTGGACACACTGAACGAAGACTCGTACAAGGACTCGACGCTGATCATGCAGCTATTGCGAGACAACCTGACGCTGTGGACGTCAGACACGCAGGGTGACGGGGACGAACCCGCGGAGGGCGGCGACAACTAACCGCGCGCCGCCATCACCCCCAGCACACGCATTTGTTTTCATCGGTGTTTTATAAGAAAACGAGTAACATTCGAGAACGCCGCGCGGTGCGCGTCCCCTGGCGCTGTCGCGAGTCGTCGCTTGTAAAAAAATGTTAAAATGTCGTTCGCAGCGGACCTTCACGTTCCGTCTAAAATTAAATGTTATGTGTCATCTTTGACGGTTTTTGTATTTCTGTATTTACACTGGATTACAGATATCGAGCTGACCTGATGAATATAAATATTTATAACTTAAGTTATTAAAATTACGGTTTCTTAAGTTAAAAGTGTTTTCCTTTCAATTAGATTATCTTAACAGCCTGGTCGGCCCCCGAAGTAACATTCCTTTCGCCGCATGTGCGCAGTGAAATGGAGATCATGATGGTGTATGTTGTTTTTAAATAATGCAATTAGGCAATAAAATTTGTTAATCGCGCCCTATGACCCAATTAAAATCTAGACTTTCGTAACTCCACAACTTGTAATGGCTGTATCAAATTAGGGCACAAAAAACTTGTTAGTGTCTTTGTATATGTGGTTTTTGTGATGTCCTCTAAAAATTAATACTTACCAAAGGAAAACATTATTGTTGACATTAACCATTTTGTTGTGCCCATCACTAATTAATAATAGCATTCTGAATTTCAGGCATTTATTAGAGGAATAGTTTTTGTGATGGACAGAATATTGTAACATTTCTGCTGCATTTTATCAGCCATTAATCTATTATATTTTTCATGTTTTCACCAATAAACTTTTGTATTAAATACAATTTTTAGTTTTAGAATCAATATTTAAATAAACCGCCACCTATTAACCCCAAAAAGATGTTTGTCTAAAAAACAAGTGTATCCTTGAACCATATTTATTACTTCAAAGGGCTAGAAGGCCAGTAACTAGCCTATGAAGCTATAAATTTATTTCTCATTCAGAAATGTCCCCAAACTCAAAGCTGAAAGCTCATTTTATTTAGAAATATTGGAATTCGTAAAATATTAACTTCGGACTCTACATCTTGTTGCTGTACTATGACTACTACAATTATTTCTAATAACGGTACAATCTGTTCAATTTACATTTTTTGACAGATAAATGAACAAAATATGCCGTAGTGTCGCCCGTAGCGAGGAAATCTGGAAGAATAACAGTATTTCTCTAGATTTTGCATAATATAGGTTTTTATTATAATTTACATGGATTCCATGTGGGTTTATTGAAATTTCATCATGAATTCAACTGTACCTAATTTGAGATGTCGTTCGGTATTGATATATCTAAGCCTCATGGGCAAATATGAGAAGGATAAAATATAAAAAAAATACCTAATATATTAATGGGTAAATGCCCAGAATGTAGGTTTGCAATTTATATTCATTGTGGACATTAACCTGAGGAATATGGTCAATTGTCTACCAGAAAAGATTGACGTAAGTGTTCTAACGTGTTCATCTAAAGACAATATCTTAATTATTATCCTAGTTACTATGCATTACCTTTGTATGCTAGAATCTGCCATTCACGAAAAATGGTGCTAGACTATAGGTACAGTGTCAAAAATGTAATGAAAAAAGGGTCAAACTTTGCCATGGTCTAATTCAGACCAACATGAAAAAGTCTCTTACCTAACATACCTACCTATCTAAAATAAGATGTGAAATAAGGATCTTTCAACAAGAACTCTAGTGGCATTTCTTGTTTCATTCATGTCATGCATATTCTAATTTTCATTTTGCTAATGTAATGCAACCTACCTATACAAATTAGTCATTTATTTTAGTATCATTTGTGTGACAGTACTTATTAGCTCTATAAATATTAACAATATAAAAGGTATACTAACTGGGCAGGGCAAACTTTTCTTGATACCCAACTATCTACTGTGATAAATTCAATTCTTTTGCATTTATTAATTTCAGAAATTAGTCGAAACAACAGTTGTACATGTTTGTTATATACAATATAATTAATGTATATTTATTTATTTAATTTTTTGGTTCTTACAGAAATCATTTACGAACTAAATTATAGAACTACACTCTAGGCTAATAAAATTGGGCAACTAGAAAGGATTACTACAGCTTGAGTATTATGTAATATTGAAATTAGGATCTTGAAATGAATATATATTGAGAAAAATATATTATTGCATCTAATGAATGTTACTATTAAGGAAAAACTAATTAAAGTTTAAAAAAGATTATAAATTAAGTACCTATATTGTTTATTGTTAGTTTACCAATAATTTTATTTGCCTTTAAACGAAATCAATAACTAATACATATCTATAGTTTATGATGAGATCTTCACACTAATGTTCTATTTATGTATAAAACTTAACAACTATTAAGATTGTTAGATGTTATAGAAAAAATCTTTCGAAGTTGTGGCAGAATAATAATACACAAAAAGGGTCTTACAAGGGTTGCTAACAGATAGGCGCTACTAAATGCAAGTCTCAGCAATGTTGTTATGTCGTTTTCAAATAAATTGTTTACTGCCATTGAAGAAGATTCCTTCCACGAGTAAATATGATAAGCATTCATGACAGAACGAGGGGCGCTAAATAAAAAATAAATCATCACAAACCATAACGCTAATTTTAACGCCGACAAAGATTCTGAAGCGTTTGTGGTGCGAGTTATTTTCCTCGATTTTAATTTAAAGACTATAAGAACACTCATCGTACACATGATAAACATTGGTAGGAAAAAACTAAAAACTAGCAGCATCGTATGAACGTTTAAACTGTGACTAGAATCCAATGTACAAAGTAATGCTTTCCCTTCACGAAGGATTGAGCTTAAAACGAACTCAGGAATGCTAAGTGAAGCAGCTAGAATCCAAACGAAAACCGTTGGTAGAGTAACTGGCACTCTAGTATCAGAGAACAGATAGTTTACATTCATAGTTCGCGGCGGGGTAGACGAATCACTATTGGCTACTAAGCTGTGTTGCGACGTTTTCATTTCTTCATCTTCATTACGGCCACGTCTACTTCTTTTGAGTGCTATTTTATCCTCAAGACGAATAGTAACGAGAGTATGTAGCGTTACTGTGCCTATTAAGTACGACGATGCTGTTGAAGTAAAAACATTGAGCCCTTGATAAGCTACGCAGCCGCTGTTTCCGAATGTCCAAGTTCTTGCGTTGATAGACCATAATTCTGGCCCTATCGTTGTTCCAAGTAGAATAAGGTCTGATACAGCCAAATGTAGAATAACTGAAAATATGCCTGTAAATAAATATATCACATGTAGTCGAGAAAGTGACATCACTAAAGTATTTGTTTATTTGTACTTACTTCTAAGTACTTGGAAAGTATCTGTCTTTACAAATAGGCTTACCGTTTCTTGAGCGCTTAAGCAGTGCGGCTAACACAGCACAGTTGGCGAGGGCGGCGCCGCCGGCGGCACAAGCGATGAAGATACCGAGCGCGAGCGGCGGTACCAGCGGCTCGGGAACGAGCGCTGGCGCAGGCACTGGCCCTGCCATATCGCGTCGTCTCGCCGGGAATGTGTCGGGATCAATGACTCGGACACCGCGTCACTCGCGTTCTCCGCCGTCGGGCAGTCGCTCTTTTTTTTCAGTAGTGATTCACCACGACACCGACCGATCGTTCCAACATGTGCGGTGCGTGAGAGAAATCGCAAACAATGTTCCGAACCTCCGACCACTCCGAGGATTACGATACCGTTAACTTTAATTTAAGTAAGTACCTGCCTGAGTATATTTCAAACTATTTTCAAATTTTTAGGTCACTTCACTGACTAACTTTTAATCAATGGTTTTACTGTGGTTTTAATTTATTAATTGAAGTAATTTCTGCCAGCTCTCTTATTTCAAGGAATAATTTACGGTCGTGCACGCATGAGATCACGTATGCGAATGCGTTATAAAGTGGCCCTTCGCTAAAATCTATCTATATATATATATATACTTACATTTCGCTCATTATTATTCAAAGTTCGCAGCTTACTGCTGGCGACAATGAACACCGACACAACGTTTCGGATTCATGAAAGCGTACCTACTCATCAAAATAGATTCTCAGGCAGTGTACATATTCACCTTCGTTTGGATAAAAGCAAACCGAGATAGAGATAATTAAGTTCTTTAGACTTTACTTCATATTTATTCATACTTACCTTATAAATTCAATTTATTTCACAGGAGTAGTACTTGACACATGCTTACTCATTCTTACAGAGTAAGTGTGTGTTCAATAGATACCTACTGTATTGTTACTTACAAGTATATCACAATTTCTAGTGTATAGCTAGCATACATACTTAGATGGCATAAATATCAAGGTAGGTTTCTTTTCTCGTCACTTTTCGCCAAAGATTATTCAGAGATCGGTTTTATTCAGAGTATTTTTACATGAATTTCAATCAGTGATTTCAAAGAAATACACATAAAATAGATAACGCACCTTTATATTTCATAATTATTGTATTGTATTTTATTTATCCTTAATTATCAGGTTTCAAGACATGGACCCATACAAGACAATAATAATAACGGTGTGAAGAATAGGTGGTTTTCGCTTCCGTTAAGGGTGTTTTTACATCCTGTATATTTCTAACACGTAGTATTTACTTACTTTTTTTAACTGCCTCCGTGGCCGAACGGTTACCATGCCGGACTACCACGCAGAGGTCCCAGGTTCGATTCCCGGGCCGAGAGAAATAGTTGTATGGCCTACAATTATTTCTCTCGTGAGTTTGGGTGTAATTTGTGGTTGTCTATGTGTGTGTCCATGGCACCCGCGACACAGGGTTTCCCTAGTGCGGGGCTATGTTGAGTGTGTGCGTTATTTATTATTATTTATTATTATTACTATGGAAGTGTATTTAGAATAAAAGTTAGGTAATAGGAAGAGAGACTATTTACCTACCTAAACTTTTAAGTCCGATTTCTGATGATCATATCCTTAATACATTTGCTTGCAGGGTTGATCGTTTGATATCTACGTAGTTCGGTGACTCTAACGTTAGGTTATTATTTCATGAAACAACTAATCTGCAATGTGCACGCTCTTCACGCATTCTTTAGGTAGCTACATAGGCACACACAGCAAAATACCTACAAACGTTATAAATTAAACTAAAACTTTTCTAAGTACATTATTACATGATTTATGCTCGACAGTTTGCTCAAATTAACGGCTTACGGACCTTCATACTTTATTTATAATTTCGATTAACGTTAAATTTATATAATTCCCCTTTTATCTTTGTTGTTTTTGATTATATAACTACTAATGACAAGATTATAATTTGCAGGCGTCTTACATAGCAAACAATTTTATTGTTTAAGAAGTATATATTGTATGTTTGACGGCCTTCCTGGTCGAGTGGCTTGCTCACCGGATATCATGGTGTCGCCATCTCTGAGGTCCCGAGTTCGATTCTCGGACAGATCAGTGTAGAAAACTAACTTTCTATATTGTCTCTGGTCTGAGTGTTTGTGGTAACGTCGTTGTTCCATAACACAAGTGCTTTAGCTACTTATTTTGGGATCAGAGGAGCGTATGTCACGTTACAATACTTATTATTTATTTATTTTATGTTCTTTTTAAGATACATAGGGCGCACTATAAGTTTCCGGAACTGGCCACTTAAATAAACAATATTTAAAAAGTAATTATAACATTTGAAAATAGAACTCTTTGGCTGTAGAATACAGTTTGTTTTATCTGACTGTCATTTGTTTTTACATTTTGCTGTTATTTTAGAAATTGTTTGTCTACATCACCATGGATTTAACTAGTGAAAATTTTCGTAGCATGATTTTTTACGTCTTTAAGTGAAATATAACAGCTCAGCGGAGCTTCGCTCGGCTGCAAACTGCCTTTGGCGATGAAGCACCAGCAAGAAGACTATTTACAGCTGGTTTGCAGAATTCAAACGCGGTCGTGTGAATCTCAGTGACGAATTTCGTAATGGTCGCCCGTCCACTGATGTGAACAACAAAACATCGATGCTGTGCGCCGTACGATCAAAACAGACAGGCATGTGACATCTCATGAGATTCGGGCATCTTTAGGCATAGGCATGAGTCAAATACAATCAATACTACACAAACATTCGGGTGTGATAAAGCTGTGCTCTCGGTGGATCCCACACAATTTGATTGAGGTTCAAAAAATGCGTCGAAAAATGGATCGCGTCTCTTGGTGCAATGCCATGCTTACCAGATTCAACGAATGGGCGCCAAATTTGGTGTGGGATATAGTAACAGGTGACGAAACATGGATTTATAGTTACGATCCCAAAACAAAGCAGCAATCGAGCGTATGAGTTATTCGAGATGAGCCGAAACTAACCAAAGTGACGTGCGTGCATAGTGCCTCCAAGCGGATGATTGCTTCTTTTTAAATAAGACTGGACACGTGGCTACCGTAGCTTTTGAGATTCGTTGTACCGTGAATAGTACACGACCATTTGTTTGCCGGAAGTTATTGACAAACTCCGTAAAAATAACCGTAAACGCCGTATCATCACGCACCACGATAACGCCAGTTCTCACACGGCCAGACAGACAAATGAATTTTTGAAGGTGAACAACTTATGAGCCATCCCGCGTACAGTTCCGACCTGGTACCTTGTGACTTTTATTTATTTCCAAAAATTAAGAACCAGTTACGCGGTAAACGATTTTCATCACCCGAAGAGTCTAAGAGTATGAAAAATATGTTTCAGACATTGTCACGGAGGAGTGGCATAAATGTTTTCAAAATTGGTTCATTCGTATGAAAAAGCGCATTAACGCTTACGGAGCATATTTCGAGAAACAATAAATTCGTTTTTGACCATTTGTAGTATTTTTTTCTTATTCGTTGCGGGAAACTTATAGTGCGCCTCAAGTAACACTTCTGCAACATCAAACTTCAAAACTCGAATACGTTAACATGTACTTTCTCACATGGTACTCCCACAATAGTCTTTTGCATAGCAGAATTTGTAGAAGCCTCTAAAACTATGAAGTGGAAAACTCGATAATGGCGAAACCTAAACGGGCACTGCCAATAAGCAAAAAGAAGATTTGTATTGTATGCTACGTGATAAATTTCATTGCATTCATTCATTACGTAAATATGCAGGTATTATCAATGGTCGTATATACGTACTATTATGATCAAAATCTCTTTAGAAGTTAAAATATTTCAGTGAATATTTCGTAGGCAAATCTGATGTTAATTGCGTTGCAGGTGACCGTTGTTATTTACGTATTGCAAATTGACGATTCCTTTTGTTATTGTATTGTACAGGGTATTTATTATACTTGTTCTTCATTTCAAATGTTTTTTGCGATTTATGATGTTTCTCTGACGTCGCTACCGTTTTCAAGAAAATGCCTCCTCTTACGCTCATAGAAGTGAAATCTGTAGGTATTTCGTACTTTGAATATGGCATATAATATGTTACCACAGAGCTCGAGATCTTATTACGAAACGTACTGTACTGTACGTTGAAGATCATTAGTCATAAATAACATAAAGTTCGTAAAACCACAACCCACAAATATGCAATCAGAAGAAAGCAAATGTTAAAGGATTGAATCCGTTATTTTCTCATTTACAATTTGGGTGCATTTCTTATAAGCACCAGTATTATAATTAGTTTTTGACCGACATACGGTTTGCATTGCGTATGCGCACTGCATTAGTTTGTATTCATGTTTTGCGCTTTTGCGTGTATTGCATTTCCCTGAGGGCACTTGCGAAAATGAAATCAATAATTCAACAAGCTCCTTTTAAAGTAAATTTGATAAAGAAAATGCGGGTCGGCCTATCTTACATTTATCATTTTTATAACATTAAGATAATTGGTACAAAGGTAACAGGGAAAAACAGCAAAATTTAAAGGTAGTACACAATGTTTATGAGTTATGGTGCCATCTAAATCCTGCATAAGTATCTCCTTAGCGTATATACTTTCAGTTTATTGCAAATAGGTACTTTATTCAAATGAGTCCCCAGCTTTTAACGTATTACCGCAAGCCGCATCGCAATATTGTTCATTTGTTTTGATTAGTGGCACCAGGCGGCCTGTGGCGGGTTCGAGTGATGGATGACTCGCGACAATGCTCCTCCGGGGACGCGTGTGGGCGTTGTCTTGACAGCCAAATTCTGCACTTTCCTCGACTTTCTCTCCGAGGTGCGAAAGGTGTACATTCGGGGGCTCGCAAATACTCGCGTTGCTTATTCGGTAGCTGGCACCGCATAAGTGTACGCGTTCTAATCGCAGCGGTCGAGTCGATCCTTAGCGGCACGGTGCATCGGGCGGTTCAGATATTCAAAGCACCTGCATGCCGCCTCCGAGTTGAAGTTTATAAAGTGGTGCGTCGAGTGAGGGTGCAACAGTTTGTTGAGAGGTCTGCGGAGTGCCATGATAGGACAGCCATGGCGGCGACTACTGAGCTAGTGACTGTAGCGCTACTTTTCGTGCTACGAGGCGGGGCGCCTGCGCGGTTTCCTGTGAGTAAGCTCTGCAAGGGCGGGCGGGCGGCGCGTGTAATAATTTTATTAATTTATCTGTTCGGCGTATAAAGTTTGTATTTAAACGTAGACAAAATAAGTTACTACATTTAATTGACGACTACTTAAATTATTTTCAAATACTTACTCAACTAATTTTACTTTATAATTACAAAATGTTATCTGCATGTTGTATAAGTGGTTCTGAAATTATTTTCTACCATCATAAAATGCATTGAGGCTATCAACGCAACTGTGCTGTAATTTACATACAATAATTTTCTGCAATATTACGTATATAATATATGTATATATATATATATATATATACTGTAACTATAACTGCCTCTGTGGCCGAACGGTTAACGCCGGGCTGCCACGCAGAGGTCTCAGCTTCGATTCCCGGGCCGGGAGAAATATTTGTATGGCTTACATTTATTTATCTCGTGAGTTTGGGTGTAATTTGTTGTTGTCTATGTGTGTGTCCATGGCACCCGCAAAACAGGGTTTCCCTAATGTGTGCGTTATTAGTATATAATTATTTCATATTTGTATACTATTTTTATGTACAAAAAATATTTAATTAGAATTTTTTTTTATGCATACATATACATTTTTATGGTAATTATGCACTTTAATATCATTTTAAGTAATGTTGTAGAAAAAAATAAATTATTATGGATTAGACAACTATTGCGCTGATAGTCTCAATTAAATGTAATAAATTTACATAACATATATTACATAAATAATTCGATGACAAAAGTTTTTAAAAGTAAATTAATAAAACATGTACATGTATGCAGGGTTGGGCAAAACACGTAAGTACTATGTCTGAATTAAAATATATTTTGCAAAAATACTTTCATAAGGTGTATCAAGAAATTAAAACATAAAACATGGTATGACTTAATTTATTTCAAATACAAACACTATCATTACCAGAACCAGTCACCATGAAAGTATTTCAAATATCAGTTACAAAATGTATTTCTCGGTAGTAATTAAAATTTCAAAACATGTATTTGTATTTTAATTATAAGTAATGCCCTGGCTGGCCCTGGCTGTATGTACTAGGTATTATATTAAGTACATATTATGAGTATATGTCATGATGTTATCCAGAAGTAAATACTTAAAAAAGATTCGTCGAAAAACTCAAAATTTTATCAAAGACTAAGTAACGCCGAGTGTGCACAAGTAAAATTTACTTTTAGCACTTGTCAAAGATTATTAGTTATGTACGATACGGGAGACGATATATCAAACTATGTATGTAACATAAAACCATAGTATTGCAAGTCGGCTATAAATGCAATGGTCTAATATCGAGTTATTTTGGAGACATAGAAGCAATTTTGTTTTTTTTACATTCCGGGCCGTTTATTTCTAATTGACATACTTTATATCAAATCTAAGTATACTGGCGTTACTGTTATGGGGCCACCAACTCTTAACGTTGTAAAATTTCAACTTTATGTCGGTAAATTCGGAAAATAAGTGGTTGTGAAAGAAAGACATGCGGCTGGACGAACTTTGAAATGATTCCATTCATTTTTTATTCAATTTTCGTACGAAACACTTTTTATTACTAATTACAAATACGTTTTACTATACTTAAATTAAGGTCTGCATTGATTTACAAATAAATGGACGACTGGTCTAATACAAAAACCACGAAAAAAATGTCCCAAGTCAACCTATTTAAACGTAGTGACATGTAAAGGAATATGAAAAAGCTAAAACGTTGAATTTAAATTGTAATGTCATCGCAGTACTGTCTAATTTTGCTTCCTTCGCTGTCAGTCGAACAAACGAAGACTAAAGCGTGAATGACGCTCTGTATACGATTTGAACGCCCTATAAGTTCGGACACTTTTTAGCGCGGACCCGACATCCATATAATTGTAAGTCAATGAAGGTCTGTATTTATTTTTGCGCAAAATAGGCGCCTTGTCGTCGAGTTGCGGACACCAGCCCGTTACACCAAGTACCAAGTATATTTTTGACGTTTAGGGATATTCAACTTTAATTAATAATTATTTGTATCTAATGCACTCGTCAGTCGCAAACCTCGCAAGTTAGTAATTTATAATTAAATGCGTAAAGTTAACAGGGCTTACAGGGCGCCTGAATGTTTTTTATAATTACCTAGCTAGGTGCGACATAGGTACATAAAGCCGGCAAATCTTACGCTATCAAAATAGATACCTACTACAATGTTATGTAACTGTGTTGTGTACTATACAGTTCTTCTCAATACCCAGTATTAAATAAACTTTCACTGAATTCTGGTATTCGGGCATGCTATTTTATTTTGGCAATTATATTACATAATAAAATTGTGTTTAGGTCTTTGGAATACTGGATCACGTAGAGAGTTACACAAGCGCTAACGTCACGTAGAGTTTTTCAATCGGTTGGCGATGATTCAGAAGGCCCATTACTAGTACAGAGCCGCCGCTGTGGAGCCGCCGCGCCATCGTGCCGGGCGGCGACGTGATCGCCTCCGCTGTAATTGAGATAGATGCGAATAACTTTCATCATCCGGACATATTCAAACGTAACACTCCACAATGGAATTCCGATATTAAAGTAATTACTTTTAGCGCGGACCGCTATTGCGCTGCACTTGCGCGGGGTCGATAATTCACTGGTATGCCATTGTCTCGCGTTCAAAAGGAAAAACAAATAGTTTTACTTTCCCCTTTACTTCGCTCGCATCCGCTAATTTCGGATCTACACTTAGCTGACTCATGTGGTGTTGATTTCGGTTTCACTCACCTCCATCAGTTTGACTGACTTGCCAAAAACACCAAAGTACCAACGTCTATAATACGAAAACGAATTAACTTAACAAACAGCTCTTATTGAGTGATGGTTTTATTACTCGTGCGAGGATCATCAATCATTGCAAGATGTATGGTTTTTAAAAGGGAAACGTACGAAGCGGACCTTCTCATGATTGCGATTCCCATAACCCGGATTAATTTCACACATCTCAACTGGTGCGCGATGTTGATGGAAGCATTTTTTTAATAATGTTCTAGACAACTATTCCAATTGCCAGGCCTCAAACTAGGGAATTTCCAGAAGTATGAGTACCAGAGCAATGGAATTTACTCTGGTGCACTTCCAAGAAGACCCAGACCTGAACCAATTTAGAAAAGTTCATTTTTTCTTTCAATTTTTCCAAATTGGTTCTACTGGGAATCGAACACGGGACTTCCGCATCCAGCGCTCACAGAGCAAACCGTTAGACCAATGAGATCGCCAAATATGTAACTTATACGAGAAGGTAGTACATAGAGTACATTGTGTTTGTCATTGTGCAAAAATTAGGGGAAGAACACACATTAATTAATTAATAATAAAAAATAACGTTATATTTATATGAATAAATAATTAATTTGCATGGTCAGTCGAAGAAAAGTTACTGGTTAAAAGTAATTCAGTGTCATGAACGTTACGTGAATTTTTTTTAGATTAATTAGCGCACTAAATAATTGTCACACTTTATCATATGAAATTCTAAGTGTAGGCTCAACTCTAACAAACCAAATGAAAATCGATTTAACTTCTATTGAAGAAAGGACTTATTTTATATTTCAACTTTATTATTTTAGCGTATAGATAGCCATGTGTGAATTTATGTCTTTGCAATACCTATACTGCCCAGTCTCGTCACTTACCATACTCATTTCAAACAGCTTTACCGTAATGGTAGGCAGTTTGTCTATATCAGTCACCGGTAGGTTGTCACCGCACACGACCTACTTCATTTTTTAACATCTATCATCACCTATTCGCTCAACACAAGATCGTGTTCTTGATACCCATATTGATTGCATTGTAGCACTAACTCAAATATTAACTGGCTGACTAATCAGTTCTCGGTACGGATTAGAAATCGTTGTCACGCCTGACCTTACATGAAATGTACTTTAATATAATTAACATGATTTTTGTGGAGCTCTCTATTGTGCGTATGTTTGAAATCGTGCATGGTTAATCTGTGCGAGATTTTTAAGTTGTATTTGTGGGTTTTTCTGTATAAGTACAACCGCTTAGTTGGCCTTTAAGATAATTTTTATTTTATTGTTCGACTACACTTGTTGGAATAACATTTTTATGGGCATTTCTCCTAGAAGGGCTAAATTCTCTGACTTTGGTGGTCGAATTTTTTTTCTTACCTTCAGGAAAAACTTTGAGCGGGCAGGAAAAAGAACTCAAACTTACATAAGATTCCGTTAATTGTGCAACTAGATTCTTAATAGTTAATGACATATTTGATCCACCGAATTCAGCTACCACCGAAATCTGGATTTTTTAACAAAAGGCATAATTTGTATAAAATATTATGAAAAAGGCAATAAAACACTCAGTAATCTACATAAACATTTACTAATATGACTAACTATTAAATCAGGCTTTAAAAACTAAAATTTATTTGTAAATCGACCAGAACAACGCAGACTATTAATTGAAATCAGTTTTCGGTTTGGCTTTTTTGAATCACACAAAGTATTTCCGTACCTCTTTTTAAAAAAAATTTTAGAACGTAATCTGTAGCTTCAAGAGTTATAAATTTTTGGAAACTTGCGCGATTAATATCTTTCATTACATTTTACACATGACGAGGTAATTCATGCAGTTTCAAAACCTTTCCTTCCCTTTCTTCTTCGCATACCTCTGTCTATCTTTTTCTTTAAACATTTCGTATATAATCGGCTCGCTTTTTATCTTTTATATTTCATTTTGTTGATTTCCAATTTTTGTTTTCTGTTTTGATGAATAAGGAAATATTCATTTTCAGTGGAAAGCAAGTTGTAATATAAAGTTGTGAAAATCAATAATATTAACTAAACATTTGTATGAACAACGTATGAAATTCTTGCTTTTCAAAGAAAATATGGCTTCATATTGCTTGTATATATATATATATATATATTACTTGTTAACGACAACACTTGTAAAACCAATAGATTGTTATTATAATTTAGTCGTTACAACACATAATATAAAAATAGTGCATACAACCATTGACTTATTGTAAGTCAATGCATACAACCATAAAATTTAGTTTTTGAAATATCGTGTACACCGAATTAAAAAATCAACCTGGACCAAATCAACCGAATTACGTATTTACTCCGAAAAAAATCTTAAAATCGCCAACAAATCATCCACATGTTCTCTCCAGATGCTGGGGCATGATTGACGAATAATATGAACGAATAGCGAAGCTTCTAAAATGCTTCGCTTATGATGTGTAGCGTGATTAGTAACTACCATAGAATGGTAACTACCACCAAATTCCCGCGTAAGCCTGGGAGACGCAGTAATCTTGGTATTGTGATAAAAATGTATAAAACGAACAGTTTATTGTTAAAAAGTACTGTCATCTAATATAATTATACATGAACTAAAGTCTAATATTGATACACGGCTTCAAATTTGAGAAAAATGAAACTTTGTGTTTGATTCTGCATTCGGGACATGCCACTGTTGTCTGGTTTTAGACCTTTCGGTTCTTTTTCCATTAGGTCCGAAAGATTTATTGGGAAGATTTTGTGCTCTCCAGGTAGCTTTCGACTTATATTATACTCTCTTTTTTGTATAATAAGTGGATTTTAGTGTATGGACACCGAAAATTGCGGCTTTGGAGGAATGCCCTTATATCTTGCTTAGGTTGTTCAGTATCATGGACATTTTGTAGCCCAAACTTTTATTGGACGCTTTTGTCACATACTGCATTACAGGCAAAACATACGTCTCAGATGTTATTATGGGTTTGCCATTGATGACCTGTCCCATGGCAAACATATACACGTTTGAACATATAATACCAATAATCCTGATAAGTGATAAATGATAATCTTGGTTATAGGTAGTGTTGGGTATAATTTTTCGAAAAATTTCAAATAGTTGGACATTTTTGAGAAAACTTTCTGAAAAATTGCAAAAATACAATTTGAAGACCTTGTATCATGTTGTACTTTGAGTTAAAGTTAGTAAGCGTTTAAGTTTTATTTAACAAGAATTATATAATAAAATTGGCTTATTTTAACAAATTTTCATATTAGAGTTCAGTACCTGCAACTTTTGAAGAGCGTCATTGCAAAAAGTGGAAAAATATTCAGGTAAATATATTTATTTCTCTAAAAATATATATGCAAATTTTTCCTTAACCCAACCCTAGTCATAACTTACACAGATTATTTAAAAATCAATATCCATTGCAAAGACATCAACGACAGTAATTTCTGTGTAATGTGGTGCAAACATCCAAAGATCGACGTTTTGTAACTCGCGCTCGTAGTAGAGACTTCAACGTGACTAATTAGCATGTCTTAGTTCATTATTGACTGCTCGAACTCTCTTTCTTTAACATTATGGCAAGTAGCTACTCTCATACAATAGAACGCTTATATAAGAGCGTTGAAACTTCGTGTCTCGTGTAGCTATGTCATGAATATTATGTTTTGCGCAGTTTGAAGAGCTTGTTAAAAGGCTTGTTATTAAATTAAACGATATTTTCAGATGTGGTTCTTGTTTCGAATCGCTTATGTTTGTGTGGTCGTTGTAAACCAAGTGATAAATTTAGGACCTTCAACTTATAGCAGAAAAATCTAAAACAGATAGGAAATGAAACTGTTTTTCCTATTTTAAGTAAAACAGAATTAAACAAAATCAATTGTCTCCGTAGCCAAATGCTGGTCTGCTACGCAGAGGTTCCGGTTTCGATTCCCGGATCGAGAGAAATATTAGTATGGTCTACATTTATTTCTTTCGTGAGTTTGGGTGCAATTAGTGGTTGCGTATGTGTGTGTCCGTGGCGTGCACAACGCAGGGTTTTCTTTTATTTTATTTTCTTCTTTATTTTAAATAAAAAAAGAGAAATAAATTCTGTGATTGATCGCTTCAGCGTATGGCGTTTACGTACAATACTACTCTTAAAGGTATTACACAAAGTGTAAAATTTTTTTGGCGATAATACGATTGCCGATTGAAACTTCACTAAAAAAAGTGACTTTGCACAACTTGTGGTTAAGTGAGAAAAATATCACGCGCGTACCCGGTGGGGTAAGCAGCGAATACGGACTTGCAACTGTTAATTACAAAATAAAATAAAAATCGTTAATTCTCAGACAACAAAGTCCGTACAAGTTAGTAAGTTGGTAACATGACACACCTTATAATTATGTTAGTATTAGGATTAGTACAGTACAGTCGCTGCACAGACTACGGAATTACAAATAATAAATTAATTATTACTAGCAAACAGGACGAACCCAACCGTCCAGACGACTCACTAACTCACACGTTGAACGTGCAGCTCAGTGAACCTGTTCGCTTATAATATTTTCAGGATCTCGTAGACAAAAAGCTAAGATTCCGAAATACTTTTTTTTCTTATAACCGACGGTTTCACTTGCCCTAGAATCACGAAGGATCATGTTTATTATTTTCCTTTTTGGTGCGGCTTATACCCAGTAGCGTATTAAGTAAATCAGTTCATTTCAATTTTTATTTTATTTTAGATGGCTTTATGATTTACAAATTAGCTGTTCGTACAATGAACATGGAAGCTAAACACTTTGTGCAAATCAGTAAAATATGTACAGAGTTCTAGAAGAACCACGATGTGGAGAACTGAAATATGGAAGTGGCATTAGGTTACAATATGTGTAATTCGATATCTACCTATTATCGTCATAGGTACCTCAACTCAAAAGTTGTAGTGAAACAACATAGCGCAGACAATATCAGACTTGAATATAAGTTTGACGTTAGACCTAGGTAAGGCTTTTCGTCACAGCTCAAATCAGCGCTGCTTAATTTATACTATGATAGTAGTTTTTCAATATAATAGTCTAAGCAAAGTAGTAGTAAGGTATATTATTAATTTTATTTATTTCAGTGTGCTAAACTCTGTTTTGTTTGTAGAAATATACGTGGCTGCTAATACGCAAGAGCACGCCTACTCCACAAATTAATTACATGAACATGTCGATAAAAAAATGTCGCATCTAGTATTTTGTTACTTAAAGCCAGAATATCATTGGTTAAAGTTGCCGTCGGTGACACAACGGTTTTATCGTGTTGCTTCGATTCAATTTCATAGAAATCGGTAACGTCGTCGTCTGCGATCAATATTTAACTCGTCTGTTGCCTGTCATTTGTCGTATCTAAGGTAAATAGTATCTTAAAAAGATGATATCCTTAGCCACGTCTGGTTGAGAGGTGGTTTTTTTAATTCAAGAGAAAAATATTATAACATTATAAGAGTATGTAATTATCGCATTGGTAAATCAATAATACAAAAAGATAACAAGCATGCAGGTTCATAGATTGAAGTTCAAACTACGAACTACATGACTTTGTCTCTTCAGGGTACGGTGCCAAGTGCACTTTAAGTTATTGAGAACAATAGAACAGGTGAAGCACATGACACTATTTCGTCTAAATATACATGTACGTGTGTTTTATGTATGTAGGTATTCATAATTTGCTCTACTTTTTGACATATGTATTTGTAGTAATGACGTATATTTTACACGCTACAAATGAGGTTTGTGTCATTGTTGTCCAAGTGTGGAGGCGTGTGTATATTTTTCAAGTAGAAAGTAAATATTATAAGTGCGTAAATTGGCAGGTGTATAGTAGTGAGTAATGGGTTGATTTAAGCGTGAAACACACAGAGAGCGGGTGCTGCATTGGGCGCGGGTCGGGTCGGGACCTCGATGGGTCTAATTCCGTGTATTTATATGGACGACAATACAACGAGAGCGGGGGCGGGACGCGCGCACGCGCACGCGCTCGGTATGTTGTCGTCCATGCAAATACACGAAATTAGACCCGACCCGCACCCGCTCTCTGTGTGTTTTATGTTTAAATGAATAAGTACCATCTAACAACCACAGCTAACGCACGAATGTCGAACTTAGTTGCGGAAGGAATAATGTCTGGAAAGACTTTTGTGAACCTCGCACATAGAAGTTAGTTCAAAAGTTTTACAATTAAGGTAAGTAAGTACAATCATTTTACGTATTTTAGGAGCTGCTGCCCGTGCATGGTTGGTGGTCAGGCACAGGTCGAGGAGAGCAGCGGGAGGGAGCAGAGGGGGAGACTGACGTGCAGGTTGTATACCTTCCGGCGCTGTTGCCGCGCGAGGCGCAGTCTGCCACCAACCGTCCGTACGATGACGTTCCTCTTCCATACAGTTTTGACGCTTTTGGACGGTGAGATATTTAGTTTATTTTTTTTAATAAATGGCAAGATTCAGCTTGTATACAAAGAAAATATCAAATTTACATCGTACAACATATAAAGGAACTTGTAGAGTAATAATATGAATACTAACTTAACTAAAAAGTGCATGCGATGAAATGAAGTATTAATGTTTATTCAAGACTGTCTTACAAATTCAAGGCCTACTGTCTTTTTGCATTAGGTCAGTATTTAACTTGACGTTTTAGCGCCACACGTGTGCTTCAAATGTGTGATGTATTTGGCGTGTTAAAAATATATTGGTAGAGTTGTTTTACATTTTCCCCCAGCATTTTCATATGCAACTATCACCTAATATAATCTCAGTAGGTAGTAAAAAACCGACCTCAAAAGTTCTTAGAATATACTTGCCAATTGGACATATATTTGCCAAGTTTTATTAAGATCGGTTACCGGAAAGTGCACGAAACCGGATTCAGCCCGTAGTTTGCCACCCTTAGAGGTGGAATATTTTCTTCAAATTTAAATTGGGCCAATACTACTGACGTATCCTCTTTCCAACAAAAAAAATCATGAAAACCGGTTCACAAAAACATACGGTCGAATTGAGAACCTTGTCCTATTTTTGAAGTCGGTTAAAATACTAACAACCTCACAAGTATGTATTACTAATATCATTAACAACAACTATTGTCTTTTGACTTTTAAAATTCATCAGATTTTACTTTCGTACAAAAATGAAAAATTTAAATAGATTACTCTAAACACTGATAGTTCTGTGCGGCAACAAAAGAAAGCGGGGATGAGGGTCTTTCATTTGACTTTACTACCAAAAATAAACTTAAAAACTGTCAGATAGTATAACAAAAACTGAAAAGGTTACTAAACACGTTTTGAAAAAGTCATGGAACAAAAAAGGTTACTAAACACGTTTTGAAAAAGCTGTCGTTTCTGATATTAGCAATATAGTTCTGCAAGGTAGTTAGTATTTTACAAATAACCCTGTCTATTTTGCTTACAAAATACATCTAAAATGATAGATTAATATGTTTTCAGGAGTTTCGAGTTGCAGCTTGTGCCAAATCGCCGGCTTTTGTCTCCAGAATTCCGCGTATGGTCGGAGCGTGGACAGGAGACCCCGTTATCGTCTGTGGACGTTTCTTGCCATTTCTTGCATTCTGGGCCTGGTGCCGTGGCCGCCTTCTCTGCTTGCAGGGACCATGCTCTCGTGAGTATGGGTCTCACTTACTTTCAAAATATACCTAAACTTTAAATTTTATTTTTAATATGGATTTCAAATATCTCTGAATACGAAATATAACTCTACTTATGGGAATAGCATTCGTTGAACAAGAAATACCCTGAATATATAACAGGATAGGAAAAACCACTTCAAAAATATTATTTTCATTTTCTTTTCATTGGAAAGTTTGTGGAATACGGCTCCTATGGTTTTTAGTCTTATTTTAAGTTAGTATTTATACAAAATGGATCAGTAACTTTTTCTCTCATGTTTTTGTTTTTATATACCTACGTAAGAATTTACTGTCAAATTACTTGGTTGTCATTTCAGCATGGATTGATTGTCGTAGACAACTCTACCTATGAAGTCCGTCCGCTGCCCCTCGGGACAGGTCGCGCTGAGAGTGGCGGCGATCGAACAGCTCACGTAATACGTCGAGCTCCACCCCCACCAGCCCCTTTGGATGACGCTCGTCCTCTCCGTCCACGCGTTCGTCGTCCAAGAAAATCCTTCTCGAAGTTCAAGCCAATTAAACCTGGTCCTTCAAGTTACACCATCGAGATAGCGCTTTTCTTGGACGAGGCTGCTTACAAGATATTCCACCCGTTCTTCAATTACAATGAAGCTGATTTGCGGGATATGCTTTTGGCATATATTAATGGTGTAAGTGCCTGTTAAAATTTTGATCTGAAACTCTTTGAAGACGTGGCTGAAGTGCACATTACTCATTTGCCAGCTTTGTTGGATCCGTACTTAGTAGTGGGATGTATGTACATTATGTGGTGATTATGATGTGGTGGTGTATTAGTCAAGATTAAAAACATGCCAGATACTAGAAATAAGATTAGAAACGGCACTGCGCCGCCGCCGCTGATGAATTTGACCGGCGTAAAGTCGACGTGCCGAAAAATTCAATATTTTATTTTAATGAAGAATCGGCTTCGTTGTTAACTATTTACTATATTCAATTCTTTGGTAACTTTTAATAGCTGAAAAATTTTGTATCCACATCGATTTCACGCCAGCCACGTAACCGCCGGTGGTGGAAAAATCATCAGACTTCTCTGACGACTATTTTATAGGTGGCGCACGTCTCTGGTCAAGATTTATAATACAAGTAGTCTTCTCTCAAAAAATGATTTAAATAATCATCATTATGCAGGTGCAAGCACTCTACCAACATTCTTCTTTGGGCACCCGTATCCAACTCTCTCTGGTACGACTGACGTTTCTACGAGCTCAGCCTTCAACGTTGCCCCCTCACGCCGAGAGAGGCAAACTGTTGGACGCCTTTTGTGCCTACCAGCGCTCCCTCAACGTTGACGATGACGATGATCCGCAGCATTGGGATATGGCATTATTACTTTCTGGGTTAGTGTTGTAGATAACTGACAGTCTTGTTGCCGTACCGTCAATGTGACCGTCAATATGCGGGGCGCAGTGTGGTATCTAAAGCTAGGGACGGGCGGAGAGTGACCATTCTCGTTACTTTTTTATTCTCTGCTTTAGTAAGAGGTCAGTTAACTCCTGCATTTTTTTACATGGCATCATTAGAATAACTTGAAAATCCAACTTCTAATTCCCACTGACCTAGGAAGTCGAAGTCGGATTTTAATTAAAGATTTAGTTTTGTGTTATGATGCTGTAAAATCATTTCCGCAAATCCGGAATTCGAAAAAAGATACACACACACACACACACACACACACACACACACACACACACACACA